GCGCAGATGGCCCTGGGCCTGGCGGGTTTTCGTGAGGCGAGGGCTAGCTAGCCAATCAGGTGGCAGGGTTCGCGCACAGATGCCCCCTCCGGGGCCATACGCGCAGCGGTTCATACGGAGAGGCGGAGACTTAGCTTAAGAGCAGTCTGTAAAACACCCACAAGCTTAGGTGAGCCCTAAGGGTCAAACAAGCTTTTAAATTTAGAGGGTAAGAATAGAGTAATCGCTACTGTTTAGTAGCTACTAGCAATGGTGGAGATATTTATCCTCCGGACTTCCCCGACAGGCTAACGACCATGGGCCGGACTCCGTCCTGACAGAAAGACAAAGGGCAGATCTCTAAACCTACTGCAACACCATAAATACTAAGGGACTTTAACAATGTGAACTCCTTAGTTATTCAGAGAAGCTAAGACCCGCATAAGGCTTGCAAGGGATAAGCAAGAGACAGACAGGAAGGAAAGGGCTAACATGAAGGAGCTTGCTAAAGCTAATAAGCTATACAATAAGACGATTGCGCACGAGAAGCGTTATGCGCGTGCAGGAGAGAAGGTAGAGCACAAACAGCTAAGTGCAGACAAGACTAAGGAAGTCGCTGAACGCAAGGTAGAGAGACAGCGCTAAAGGCAACTCTTAAAAAGCTATAAAAAAGCCTTCATTAGGCAAGCGCAAGGCTCTGGAGAAAGTAGCTCCAAGGAATAAGCACAAGTATAGTGCTAGCAATGATGTAGGTGGTGCCTCGCGCCTAGCGCGTACGCCAACACCTCTACACTAAACCAACACTCGCGGCTGCAAAATCCTTCAGCCAAGAAAGTATTGGTGAGAAAGTTTGTTCTATACATTGGTGAAGTACTTCACAAAGTTGTCTTGTAATATAAGCTATTGTGTGTGGCTCTACAGCCTCAAGTCTATGTAGTCCGTTTCGTGATGCGTGTGCATTGACTGACGGCGTGCATTGAGTGCACGGATACGGTACCCGTGATGTACGTTATGAGCTATCACAATACAAGAAGGCCACGCAGATGAAGGACCGTGCCTTACGCAACATGAGCTCTGTATAAAAACTCGCAACGTCCAGTTTTCAACCCTCATTATACTGAAGCGCAGCGTATATGTGCGGCGACTTCTGCCTCTTATTGTCTCTTATCCATGCCACGGTCTCTTCCCAATCAGCTTCCAACTCATCTTCACTAAGCTGTATCTCGCGGCCTTCATTATCAGATGTCTTATCGCAAGTAAACAAGATCGACGTCGTCGCCCGGTCCAAGGTGTTTCTTTTCCTCTCGAACTCTTTATGGAGGGTGGAGAAGAATTCTTGAGCTGGGGCGTCTAGATCGACCCAGAAACTGAGGGCGCTTGAACCCAGTGTACAACTAACTCTGATCCTCTCGGAGCCAGATTGTGGGTTTGCTATGTAAATGGAAGATGGAGGATCAGCAGTTGAAGGATGAGAAGTGCGTGACGAGTCGGTGCGATTATTCGGTGCTGCAGCTGAAATAGATCGCGATTGAGCAGCTGCTTGCTCACGTTGTGTCATTATAAAATCTTGGACGAGCTCGTCGGGCTGTACACGAGCGGAGGCTTTGGAGCCATGGCGTGCATCAGAAGAGCGATGGAAAGAACCTGCGTGTTCCTTGAATTTGGGACCTTGCCCTTTTGGGGGAGGCGGTGGCATTATTTCTGGCATATCTGGTCTGTCAGTATGTGTAGTGTGTGCCAATTCCGGACATGTTTGAGTGTGAGGTTTAAAGTCGTACCTTCGCCAGAGTCCAGGCTCCCAAATAATAGGTCTATATCAAGAAACTCTTGATCTACTAAGAAAAAGGTTGTTTCATGCGATGCATTGGACTTCGACCGTTTCCATGTCAGTTTCGCGCGAGAGGAAACTGTAATTTGTCTGAATGTGCCAGGAGCTCCCCTTCGTGGTACCGAGATTTGTTCCTCGGCTATCTCTTCTATGTTGCTATCGCAGATACGTCCAGCATCGAACATGTGTTTATTGATAACACTGTATTCGATCGGCGCCTTCATCATTGTAGCGGGATGCTTCTCGATGTCATCATCTTCGTTCATGGCGAGTATGAGTATATTTTCTCTGCCATCTTTTCCAGATAGTGACTTGCTGTGGTTGGAACGTGTCTTGGGTGGGCTCGGGGAGCCTGCGTGCGCTTCCGTGCCCGGATAGTTACGGGTTGATTGTCGAGGATCACTCGAGAACAATCCAGTGCGCTGTGATGCAGATAATTGTTTTGGAGCTGGCGCTACATATGCTTCGTTGTTACCAGTATTTTCTGTGGACTTGAGCTGTTGGTCAAGGAGGTATTCAATAATGTCTTTCTCTATGTCCTGGTCGTGGCAGCATTTGATCAGAACCTCCACAGCTTTCTCTGGATGATCTCCTACAAATCGTTGTAGTACAGGACGCTTCAGTTTACTCATGATGATGCGCCTTGTCGTTAACGCGGAACAAGAATCGACCTTGCGCTAGTCAACCTTAATTATACGATGCGGCGAGCACTTAGCTGGTGAGAGGAGCAGGGCTGGGCTGGGCGAGGCGTATCTCTGTTCTTGTAAAAAATTCCTTGTAACAAATTCCTTGTAGATGAGGTCTACTAATTGTTGCGCAAAGCAGGTAATAGATCGCAATGGTGACCTGGGCAGATCTCAACGCATCAAAGTGTTGTGCGACAATTTTTTTGGCTGTGAGGCAGACAGGAGGGAAGTTAGGGAACACTTGTGTCAGGGTTTCAAGCCCCGTTTATCACCCAAGATGCGCTAAGGTACTCAAGGTCCTGTTCGCTGCTCACCGGTTCGGCAAAGCCTAAAAGGCTGCATCGACGACCAGAATACCGGTAGGCTGCCCATGCCCCACTTTGTGCACTAGCGAGCGGCTTCAAGGAGCTGCGCCTTTCTTACTTCCAAACCAAATCCATTGTTCCCGTCTTAGGTGAAGGTCAATATGAAATGTCGGATCCAATGGCTGCCGCTCAGTCCTACATTTTTTCGAATTCGAGCCCAGTAACTTCACGAGAAACCGAGATTGCTTTGGTGTCGAACACCACCAGTCGCAATGTTGCCAAAGACACTGCAATACAGATCAATGGCCATATTGCGAACGACGTACATCACTGGAACTTGTAAGTCTACCTCATCCATTGAATGTTCCAAGTGAACACTGATGAACTCTTTAGCAAAACGTTAATCATGAACTACTACCCGCATTTGGCTCCGAAGAGATGCGCTCACCAACGTTTGCTACCTGGCAATGTGTCTGTTGAACCTATCGCTCGACTGAGACCGAGGTCGTCTGCCGCAGATAAACCGCCATTGCAAAAGTTCCAACATTGTCTTGAACAGAGTGCCAAACCTGGGCAGAAATCAACACTTGTAAACTTCGAGTTGCGATATGTTGCTTTGCTTTCAAGCCTTGATGGCAATAAAGGCGCAGTCTACGGAATCTTTCGGGCGGATTGCCAAACAAATTACATATCAAACAGGATCGTAACGAGGTTCAGTCTCAGATCTTATGTCGATAGTTCGGCGGACACTTCCACGGTCATTGCTGGACAGAACAGAATCACGCCTACTCGCAACTACGTTTCTCTGGTCACCCCTTCAGGAGCAGGCAGCGAGCAAACCCCATGCCGCTTTTACGTTGTTGAACACAGCCTGGAGAGGTTTGATGTACTGATTGGGTCAGGTTTCATTATCAATCTTTCATCATTATCATCATCATCAGCCAGACAGGACGAGCCTATAGGCTCAATTTGTCCAATCCGGTCAAAGACAGAAGCACACCGCGCATCCAACTAGATTGGACAATGGCCATGAACTGGATTAGGGCGTATTTTATTCCCAATTAGGAGCCGTCCGGTAGTAGTTCGCGCGCTGTGATTCGATACTACTGTTGCGAACATGGGTTCAAAGCTGCCGGCGTCAGTAGCTGCAGGGGGGCGTTGCGACAACAAACCACTGCATGCTGCAAGCTCATCACCAGATCACTTGCAGCTTAATCAAATCGCAACGCTGCGCCTCGCAGGGCGCACCCCTCATGTTCGCCGAGGAGATAAGCTGAGATGAGTCGCGTCCGGTTCGCCCTTTGGCGCCCAGTAAGATTTGCTTTTGCATAGTAAATCCACTTCGAAGCGCAACAAGAACAATGGTAACTTATGCGACGTCCGTACTTGGTGCAATGCTAATGATCGATTTTAGGCTGAAGTTTTGAGTGTTCTTTCAGCTACCGCACAGCTTCTCGATCAGGCCATTCGGGTCCTAGGACGGATTCGCAAGGCTCGCCAGCGCCAGAAAGCACTCCTCGATGTCATCGCCCAACATGAAAGCGAGCTCAGCAGCGTCAAGGCCATAATCGGTATCATTATAGACGAAGAAAGTTTGCGTACCGCTTCCGTTTGTTCCGAAGTGGTGAGGCTGAGAGGTGTGCAGGATAAGCTGGTCAAATTGCTCGAGCAATTAGACCCCAGACTCAAAACATCGGCGCAGCAATTCTCGCACCAGTTGAAGAATGGATCCTCTGACGAGAGCAAGATGTATGCCATCATGAATGAGCTGGGTCAGGTGAAGTCCATGTTGCTCCTCCGTATACAAGTCGCCAACGTTGGAGTGATGCGCAACGTGCAGCAAGGGCTTGTTGCCAACACCGAAGTGATTGCGCGAGTCGACCGGTTTCTAAAAGAAGAATTCAGTGGTTGCGAGGGTCTTAGAATCGCACGATTGCTTCAGGGACGACGTCCGTCAAGTAAGTATCCTCGTCTTAGACATTGTATAAAGGTACTAATAAGAACAGACGATGGCACTGTACCACTAACACCCGCTGACTGGAGTTCGCTCAGAGATGCCGCCGACGACCAGAACAGGGACAATGAGATCATTGTCGACGATTCGGATTCGTCCACGGGCTCTGAAACCAAGAAGCGAGCGTCGATAGAGCGGATTATTCTAAGTAATATGGCCAAGAACCAAGCGATACAAATCAACGCTCCTCTTGGAAAAGACATATGGAAAAATGTTGACCGGATAGTCATTAAGAACAACATCGCTGAACACGATGCTGTTCAAATCAACTACAACAACACACTCGAGGATACGATGGCGTTGATGACATTGAGAAGCAAGCTCAATATCGCAGTACAGCAAAACAAGTCGTCACACATACGTTTCGACAGTGTAATGAGCCCAGCATGAAGAGATTTGGCCGTGGGGATGGGGCAAAAGCAAGATAATGCTGGTGTCACGGAATCTTGAAGATAAGCGGAGGATATCAGCGCGTCAAAAGGCGTCGCAGGGGTTCAGCATACCGACGTTGAGATAGTATCATGTAATGAAACCATAAGCTATATCACATGGCCTTAAAAGAGTGCATCGGTTTACACTACTCTCTCCTGATATCGTGACCTTGACATCCACTTACTAAGAGACTCGAAAGACAGAGCAATGATGCTGGTGTGACAGGATTGAAAGAGGATCAGGAACAGCAATGCAAGAATGAAACGGAAGACATCAAGGTGAGATGAGCGTACGACTAATATAGCACTATTTTTTCATGCTTGCTAGCGCGGCCGCCAAAGACCAGCTGTCCAAGAAGCCTCTGCTCAAGCGGGAGGGATTTTGAGGCGATGGCCATAACGTACCAGCGGTCAATGCTATAGCAAGACTACGCCGGGCGGTTGTGTGCTTTAATAGGGTATTATGGCCTTCAGAAGAAGGGTGTTTGTATATAGTCAAGTAACAACAATAAAATACAGGTGCCGGTGTTGTATGGTGCGAGAGAATGGCTAGGTAATAAGTGCAAATCTGCTGGTTGATCTCGTAGACCGGAAGCGGCTAGATATTCTTCGGGACTCCTCACAAAGGCATGGACACAGGGTTCTGGGAACAATATGTTAGGTATTCGCTTGTTGGCCACGTGGAAGTTCGGGGCTGGCAGCCCAGCACAGTTGCTTCACAACCTAGCCGTGCTGTTGTACCAAAGCGCTGAAGAATTTGCGCAGAGGTCTTGTGACTACAAGATCGTAAACACATTTCAAGAGGATGAGAAACCCGAGGAAAAGCTAGTGGTTGGTCCAACTTCTGCTGCTCGCCGCTCCTGCCCACGCTGCCCACTGTTTGACTTCACCCAACTGCTCATCCCTATCGCAGCTAATGTCACCAGGTGCTAGAAAAGACCTCCTCTACACTAGATTCCGATGCGGGCGGGAATATCAAAATCTTAGGAAGTCATGCAGAGGTCTGGCGATTCAGGGACAAGGACGCCAATATGGAGATGGCGTGTGAGGAGCTGAAGCACACGGTGAAGAGCCCATGGCAGCGTAAGCGGTCCAGGCTGTCTCTGTCCGCTGTCGAGGCTGATCGTTCCTCCCTGGCAGCAATGCAAGCCTAGCTCCACAAGTTCTTGGATGCGTTAAGCTGACTACCGGTAGAGCCTGGGAGATTGCGCCCGAGCGTGGTGGACCTCGTGCTGAACTCGGTCGGCTGAGTGACACAAGATGCGTCCTACGTGGAGTGCTCGACATACCGGCGCTGCGGACTGAACTGCTGCTGGGCCACACCGAAACCGGGCGACTGGCGCTCGACTGCGTGGTGCGGAGCGGGGCGGACCAGGTCGCGCTCAGCCGTGACGAATTGATACGGCCCTGCTCGACATGATCGGCACAGGGGCCGTGGCGCGGGCTGGGGATGGCGGCTGCACGGCCCTCCACCACGCTGCGTGCCGTGGACACCACACATCAGTGGAGCTGCTGCTGGAGCACGACGCGGCACTGCTAAACACCCGCACCACCGATGGATCGTTGGCACTGTGCCTAGCGGGTCAGGCGTTGGTTGTCACAAGCCTGGTGCGAGTTGGTGCCAACGTGGCCATCGTGGATCACAACAGCTACAACGGCCTTCACCTGACCGCCAGGGGCAGGTTTAGCGACATTGTTGACATCCTCTTACTGCACGGAGCGGACCCGCACAAGAAAGGAAGTCCAGATGGCAACACGGTTTGCACCTAGCTGCGCAGTTCTACCATCTCATCTCCCTCCGCACGCTGCTGCGCTCTACTGAGGATACTAAGCTGCGGAACAACCAGTCCTACACCCCTCTCTACGTCGCCGCTGAGGAGGGTTGACTGCCAACAATCCATGTGCTCGTAGATGCTGAAGCACAGCTGCTGGACACGGAGGGATTGGTGGGCCCCAAAGAGGGGGCTAATGAGGAAGAGGACTGTTCTTTGACGCCACTAATCCTGCTGCCCACCAATCCAGCCACCCTTCTTCAGCTGGCAGCGAGCTAGGAACGTACCCAGGCGGTGCGCTTGCCATTTGGCCACTAAGCACACCACGGCAAGGCTAAGCAGCACCAGGGCTCTGTTTGAGGCCACCGCCAATGGTCTAGACAATATTGTTGGTGAGCTCCTGGACCACGGCGCATCGCCAGAAGCTGAGGATAGTGACAGTAACACGCTGCTACACAAAGTATTTTGAGGTGGTAGCGTGAAAGTGCTGCTGCATATGCTGGGCCGCTGGCGGGTCAAAAACTACACGCCTAATCACACCAGCGCCACCCCGCCTCACTTCGCAGCCAAGATTGGATCTCTTTCCATGGTGTATAACCTTCTCGCTCATAGCGCTGATCCTAGTCCCTAACGCACGCCTAGGAAACGCCTCTCCACCACACCGCGCGCGGGGGCCATCGCCTTGTGGTACAGGAGCTGTAGAGGCACATGAATGCCATCAACTGCGAGGACAAGGCTGGACACACAGCTTTTAACCTAGTTGTTTAAGGTAGTCACGCAGGTGTTGTCAAAGACCTGCTTAAGACACGCACTAAAGACAAGTTCTAGTTTGCCTTCTACAACCCTGTGATCCTTAAGCAAGAAGCTGTGCTGAAGGTCGTCCTGGAAAGCCGCAAATAGGACTGTAGCATAACCAGCGTGCATTACTGTCAGACGCCACTGCAGATTGCGGTGGATCTGGAGCTGTCCCCCGCCGTCAAGCATCTGCTGCGCTTCAGCCTTGATGTGGACTTCAAGGACGCCCGTGGCTATATGTGCCAGACACCGCTGTACATGGCGGCGGAGCGCGGCGTCACTAGCATTGTGGACTTGCTGCTGAAGCACGGCACCAACATTAGTTTGGCGGACGAGCAGGGCAATACACTGCTCTAAGCTGCGAGCTAGGCCGGCTGTACTGACACAGTGGAGCGGCTGTTAGTGGGAAAGCCCTTGCTAGAAGTTATGAACCAGGACAATAAGCAGGACTAGACCGCATTGCATGTGGCGGCCACATAGGAGGCCGACATTACCAGGCTGCTGCTCCAGGCATGCGCCAACGCGAGCATCCAGACCAATCAGGTTGAGTCCACGCCGCTTGCGCGGGCCGCCTTCAATAATGAACGCATTCAAGTGGTTTAGTATCTTCTATATTACGGCGCAGACCTCAACGATGCTGACACAGATGGTGAGACAGCTGTGCATCGCGCTGCTATTATGGTAGCAGCAGTGTGAAGATTACCGGTATACCGGTAGAGCTCTTTATCTCTGCCAAGGCCAACCTCAACGCGCCGCGCCTCAACAGGTGCACCCTGCTGCACCTTGCTATTATATTCCTACCGGTAGAGCACGAGGTCGCTAAGCTGGTTCTCAAGCAGTCTGACAGTTTCAACACAAATACTACAAACATAATGCATAGCACGGTACTTGGGTTAGCTGTTTAGATCAGCCCCTAGACCCCAACAAAGACTGGAGACTCCCGCTGACACATTTAACTAGTAGTAACACCTTTCTCTGGGATTTAGGGGACGCTGCATCCGTCTGTTAGTACAAGGCAAACCATGAAGGGGGCTATGGTCTCTGCCAAGTTTGCTAGCCACAGCAGCACCCAGAGCGACTTCATGTTCAATAGCGACTTCAGCAACAAGGCAGAGAGGATTAATTCGCAGATGCAAGGTTAGTTAGGGCAGGATTCAGATTTCAGCTCAGAAGAGAGGAGATTAGGGAGGTACTTGTTCTTAGACAACAATATTATTCTTTAAGAAGGGGACGAGAAAGATTTAGACTAACATACCTTGTAAAGGAATATAACTATAGTAATATATATGTTGTGGCAGACGTAGCCGCTGTATAGTCGATGAAATCTGCGCTGAGTTGCTTGCTAGCTAGGAGGCGAACATAGTATATACATGCCCCAAGACTTGCTAGTCCAAGGTAGACTGGCGGATGGGTACCATGTACCTAGGGTTAGATATAGGTAGGGTATAGGTCGCACGGACGTAGGTATAGGTAGGGTAGGGTCGCACGGGCCATAGGTATAGGTAGGGTAGGGTTGCACGGGCCATAGGTAGGGTAGGGTAGCACGTGACTGGGTATAGGTATAGGTAGGGTAGCACGTGCTAGGTATAGGTTTGGTTTGGGTATATCACTAATCTGCATTAGTAGAAACTTTGGCT